CTGTATACTTTCATGTAACACTCCACAATGGTTTGTTTTAAAACTCCAAGTACTGTATACTTTTATGTAACACTCCACAATAGTTTGTTTTATAACTTCAACTACTGTATACTTTTATGTAACACTCCACAATGGTTTGTTTTATAACTTCAACTACTGTATACTTTTATGTAACACTCCACAATAGTTTGTTCTGAAACTCCAAGTACTGTATACTTTTATGTAACACTCCACAATAGTTTGTTTTGAAACTCCAAGTACTGTATACTTCTGTATAAGAGTCTATAATGGTTTGTTGTTGTGTAATTGTATATAAGACTATGTAATGATGGTTTTAAACCTTTAGTTACTGTGTAGTTTTATATAAGATTCCATAATGGTTGTTTTTAAAACTTCAGCTACTGTATACTTTTAAGCAAGACACAACAATGGTTCGATTTAAAATAACAACTACTGTTCGTGTATGTTCTTCACAATAACATGTTTTATTTTAGTTTGTTATCTTATTTTCTCAGCGTTACCAGGCCTACATTGTTACTATAGTTAGTATGGCGCTATTAGTCACAACCTTTCAGTCTGTATATGTCTTCGCATGGTTGACCAGTAAGTTTTCGGACTGAAAATTCTAAAATCCCGAGTTTGATTCTCCGCCGTGGACAGAATCCATATGGCTCATTGCCTATCTTTGCACTAAAAAACTGAGACGGGCTGTATAAGCCGAGGATGGTCCTGTGTACTTACTTTATTGCCTGGTTTTGGTGTTTAAAAGATCTGGTGATATAGTTCTATTTAATTGCTTCTGACGACTCTAATTTTGTTTTTGTTACTCTGTGGTTTTCTGTTAAAATACCGTATGTTACTCCTGTCTTCGAATGAATATCTCCCTCGTGTATATTGGTTTTGGTTTTTTTTTTCACGACTTCTCGTTTTGTAATTTGAAGAAGAAATTCACCAATCATCGAATTGAAGGGAATCTTCATTTTGTTATCAGATATCTGGATTATTTCTTAATAGAAATGTAGAAATTGATTCTACTTTCCCCAGGGTGCCGAAGTTTGGGGGGTCGTAGATACGCTGCAACAGTGATGGCTAAATCCGGACATGGCGGGGGTATTGTTGACTGACTATATTCCTTCTATTCAGTAGTTTAGAAATAGAAACAGCTATACATACTCTAGAGGTCTCTGACTTAGTTGTTTAGCCCATGTGAGTATAAGGCGATGTTCATATTAATTCCATCCCTGCAGGAAAAGTTGCCGGACATGACAGACTGTAAGTTAGAAGATCCGTGGTTCGAGTCTCGCTGCCGAAAATTCGCGCTCGGCACTTTGGGTTCGTGAGTGCTTTAAAAGAGTGACAGTCAACTCCCTCTAGTCTATCAGCTTATTTCTATGTAAAATTCAGTTGAATTGTTTTGTCGTTGTTGTTGTTGTTGTTGTTTTAGCGGCAAGTTGTAGGGATTATGACGTTAAACTTCGGGATTCGATTCCTACGTTGAGCTTGGCACAGGTAACCTGCTGTGTAACGTTGCGTTCGACAATAAACAAACACATTTAATAAAGACACAAAAATCAAAGACATTTCAGTTTAAAAAATTGCACCACACTTTGAACGTACGTTTTATACTTTAGTAAAGATTCTACATCAAACTAAACAATTAGAATTAGAGTGATAATTACATATTAGCCCCTTATTATATAAAGGTATATGTCTGAAAGTTTTAAAACACCTGAAAGACACGAGCTTTACATTCGGTACTTCTTTCTGATGTAACTACAACACGAAGAAAAACAGTGATTCTAATACAATGGAAACTTACTGCTTTCAAATATGGACTTTAATATTTAACTAATGGAAAACTAATTAACAGAAACGCAATTCGGTTGAAGAACAAGGGAAGAATTGCACTTCACTTCCCATAGGATTTTAGACTGGATTAATTAAAATCCAGGAATGTTACGAATACGATGTGATAACAAATATACCATTATTAATTGTAAGTCCATTCATGTAAAACACGTTTATTTAGATTATAAATGGATCTCAAAACACCCAAAGCTAATACAGCTTAACGTTGCGGGAATAGTTTTGATTGCACAAACATAGTAGAAACAATAAGTTTTAAAACTGTTTCGTAAGTTATGGTGAAGCTGTAAGCCTTACTTCACTACGTTTTAGTTTATAGTGAAGTTTTAAACAACAACTTTCTTATTCTTAGTCTATGTTGAAGCTATAAACCTTATTCCTTGTTCATGGCGAAATTTTAAACCTAACTTCATTTTTTTAAATATTGAATCTCTAAAGCTAACTTCATTTTTTGTTCATATTTTACCTCTAAACTTAACTTCATTTTTTTGTTTATATTAAATCTCTAAACCTAACTTCACTTTTTTCTATTCTATGGTGCATTTTTAGGCCCTAACTCACTTCTTCCTAGTTTATGGTGAAGTTTTTAAACCTAACTTTACAACGTTTTAGTTAATGGTGAAGTTTTTAAGCCTAACTTTACTACGTTTTAGTTAATGGTGAAGTTTTTAAACCTAACGTTACTACGTTTTAGTTAATGGTGAAGTTTTTAAACCTAACGTTACTACGTTTTAGTTAATGGTGAAGTTTTTAAACCTAACTTTACTACGTTTTAGTTAATGGTGAAGTTTTTAAGCCTCACTTTACTACGTTTTAGTTAATGGTGAAGTTTTTAAGCCTAACTTTACTACGTTTTAGTTAATGG